ATAAATTGTTGTTTAGAATCGTAGTTTTTTCAGTGACGAATTAAAGCTGTTTTGTTCATCGACCGCTCTATATTTTTTTGGATTTTCTTTACAGTAAGGTGATTATAGTTGTTTTTGTTGTCATTATTACTGTTATTGTTGCTGTTGTTGTTATTAATGTTGTTGATATTATTGTCATTATAATTGTTACTATTCTCATTATGAGTGGTTGGTTTTGTATGAACTACAGCTATCTCATCACAGTAATTCGAGCGTTGTGGAGGTGGAAATCAATGTTGAGTAATTCAAAAGGCTACCGTTTTCCCTCTCGTCACGCATACTGTATTTTACGAAGAGCGTTGAGAGTGTGTGCGCTGGTGAAATGCTTATAGCAAAGTTGATGTGGTGCGGTCACGATGGCATCAACCAATCAGATTAGAGCAATGGCTGAGTTGCGCCTGAGCGGCGTTATAGCTGTGTGTGTGTGGAGGGTGGGAATGCACCAGATCGCAATTATCGCCCAATTGTGGTACTGAATTTCAAACCTGGAATTAATTTGTGTGCAATGTTGGAATTAGTGAGGTTAAAGTGCAGCACATTAGGGCGTTATTGGGTATAGCGGTGAAGTGGAGGGATGCCGGGGTGCATGTTGTGTGTGTGCCACTGTCGCGTGGCATATACACGTCACTTATGCGTTCGTTCGTTACGGGAACGCTGCACTTTCTTTCGTTCTGTTACGGGTTTTCTATTGCTTGAGGTATATACTAGGGTATATTTTCACGAATAAATTTCCTATTTGATGTATAAATTTCGAAAATATTCCCAAATATTTGCGAGATTTTCATTCAGAACACAAATTTCGTCATCATTATTTCATAATAGGAACACCAGTATAATGCCAGCATGAGTATAATATCAATCGATAGAGTTAGTAATACACAACGAATAGTGTATATAAGTGGTGTGGGACAGATGTGCGGTGTGTGTCTTGTGCACTTTATCTCTCGGTCACAAAGCACACATCACATACCCGAACCACTGCTTGTCGGCTCTGCTTCTATAATTCTCCGGGCGTCACGTTCATCTCATCCGTCGACAAATATCGACGTTTACAACGACGCGACGCGAGCTGATGCGCGTCGATCGACCCACACAACGAGGAGCAAGAAAGTGAGACGTGAAAGAAGAATATTCGCGAAAACTAAAGCATTTGATGAGAACACACAAAAATTACTATTTTACTTGTAGGGGATTTTAGTGGAATTGCAGGATTGAATTGTTTCATTATTATCTTTTCTGATTGTAAATTTCGTCAGTTCAACGTATTCTACCTCGAATATATCATTTAGCGTGAATCATCGGCTTGAAACGATGCATAAAACACGTACGTCTAGCGGCAAAGTCATGTTAGTTGTTTTTGGTTCGTTTTTTCGAAATTTCGGGTGGATTTGACAATTTCGGGTGTTTGAAAAGCATTTTCGAGGCTATTTATCATAAATGTTGATAGGGATAACCTAATATCGCCGAAAAGGAAATGTTTTCTGCTACTTGAGTGCAACTCTCCTCAGCAACACCATTCATGTTTCATTCTTACTGTTTCTCTATCAACTTGAATCATAAGGTCACTCAGCGTTCACATTTGACCGTGGAAGGACTGAAATCGAACGTTATAAATCCAGCGTTATAAGCGCGCTGGATTTGACAAATCCATCTTGTAAACGTGATAAATGTTGATGATGAAATTCGTTTGATACGTTATTGTCTGATGCGTGATGTGTTATTCGAAATCTTAACTATTCGCATCCTCTGAGTATTAAAGAGACATATGATTGTATGCTTATCGATTAGTTTCATATCGTTTGACGTTGTAATGATTTCATGAAAAATTGATTTTATGCAATAAAACTCGTTTGAATTGTCTTTGAATCGAGCATATTAATGAAGAGATTGCAAGTTGGATGAGTGTAGTTAATGACCGAAATTATTTGTTTTCAGATGATGTCGGGTTCGTCAGCCTCATCCTCAAGTGCAGTCGAACCGGTATCAACAAGTGGTGCTGGTAATGGTTGCGGCGCTGCTAATAATACCACTAATAGTACCGCCAATACTAATTTACCGTCCGAGAAATCGTCAGATCCAAAAGCTGACAACAGTGCCAGCAACAACAACACCAGTAACAGTAATCCCAAAAGTAGTAATAGTAATACGAATGGTAATAATACGAGTACTAATAACAATGCTAGCAACAACATTAATAGTAATGCTAATAATGATACCAACAATCCTCCTGAAGCTAGTTCAACAGTGGTTCAGGATGATGAACAATCGTCTCATCATCAAGAGGATGAAAATGATGTGACTGAAACAACAGGATGGGAATCACCTAAACAGGTATCTTCCAGTTTATCCTGGATCAAATTATAATTTTGCTCTCGAAAGAACTGTTGGTCAGCCATAGGTTACATACTTATGTCACATGCTCATCAGCTGGTATTTAAAAGAGGAATAAGCAGTATTCAGCATTGATCCATGGTATATGTATTATCGGTTATTGTAATGGAATCAGGGAAACGTTAATGATATGCTAGTGTATTCCCAAATCTGTTTATTGAGTGAGTATTGCTTGGTTTCTTCCTTTCATAATATCATTTCCATTGTGGCAGTTTTGGTTGATATCTTGACTTATCAACGATCAAAGTTGAAAGGGTAATAGATTTCAACAGCTGCCTATCCTGTTTCACATGAACGGGATTCTGTCTTGTTTATGAATATTCCTGCAGTATCATTCGCTGTAACTAACTGAAAATCACTACTTTGTAGAGGCTGTCTGGAAGGGGTTAGTAAATTAAGTATATACACATGTCCTATTTTGCGTGACTCGGATGAGAAATTTCCCCATATTTTCCATGTAACAGGTTCCGAATAATGGAACTCATTGAGGGTGCGCTTCAGATGGGTGTGCACGTTGTCGACGTGATAGATCAATGAATTGTTGAGCAACAGAAACGAATGTTTTTTGTCAGTTCGTAGACGGTAGAAGTGATTGACAGTGTTATGCGGTAAAGATGAGATGAAACGTTGAATTGAACATTTGATACATTGAAAGATGAATATAGAAAGAGTAAGTTATGGTGAGGGGTGTGCTTTGTAAGGCGTAGTTTAGTGAGAGAAGAAGACGAACAGATTTGATGTCTGAATTGAGTTTTGTTGAGTAGAGAAACGATCAGTGCAAGTGAAATGAATAGATGTGTATGAAACTTTTTTTTTGTAAAAATTGTTTGGTATTGCGAAGGAGGAGTGAGTAGTGGATGTAGATGGAGAAGTGATATTGAGAGATGACATGATGTTGAGATGGAATGTTGGCGTTTATGTTCTTATTAGTTATTGGTTGCTTTGCATTCCGTAGCAGTCAGATGTAGGGTATCGACATTAACGAAGATAACACCTATATGGTATGGACCTAGACGGTTGTATAGAGCCGATGTTCATCAATGGGAGCATGTTAAACATGACATATCTGCAAGTTTGTTACTGTTGCATCATAGTCGCTTATAAGTCCGAGCATAAAATAATTTTAGCGGATGAGACCAAAGCATAAACGAGTAATAACTACCAACATTCCATGATCACGTATGCTTTCATACCCGTGCAATCAAAAGTCACCTATGTAAACATTAACGCCATAAAAACTCGACAGTTTGATCGTGAGTCGAAACACATTTACCATATTAATCAACAGAGAGTGGATGAACTTGTTCTGGTCCACACAATTCTTTCTAGCCTAAATTTTGATTGACAGCATAGGATATCAACGTTGTTGTTGACGGATTGTTTCATTATGTGTCCTTTGAAGGATAGTATGTTGCAATCTTGGCGCTAACCACTTTCAGTTCGGAATATCTTGCAGATGAATCATCAGTCTTTTCAATGCCCTTGCAAAGAACGTAGTGTTATTTCATTTCAAGCAGTTACAACCAGAAAAAAGCTGCGTCGAATTTGAAAATGACTGAAACATTAAGGATGAATGCTGCCAATTAATCGTAAGACTTATAAGAAGTGATCAAAATCCTCTAACAAATCTTGTCATGCGTCTGGTTCCGTTCGAAGGCATGGCGATAATTTTAACAAAAATGATCATGAACCGAAGCAGTTTTTTTGCCATAATTCAGTTATTGCACCGTTTAGTGTACCAGACACCATACATACGCCAGCATAGCTGCGTATAGATTGAAATACATTTATTTTAAATGGGTGCATACTGACTACCAGGATTGAAGACAAATGCTATCCATCCATATATATCTCCAGGAATGTATGCAGCATACATAAGGCATGAGTGATACAGTTAGCTCGCGGCGGGGCCGCATTTGTTTGATTCGAAGTGAAGGAAGCGCTGCATCAACAATTAATAGTTAATTACCATAGGCATAAGTTTTGGATTACTTTGTGACAATTATGAAAATTTCGCAGATTCCTTTGAAAGTGTTAAGCAAAAGTGAGCTGTGGTTACATTTAAAACGTTCAAAAGCAATGTCCGAATTAGTGAAGAGAAGGTAAGACGGTGAAACCATCTTATCTTCTCTTTACCAGGTGGGATCAGTCCATGCTGATGTATTGAAAATAAACCCGGAATGAAGGGTCTGTAGACCATTAGCAGACAATCTTTAGTATGCTTGCAGGAGGCAATAAATGGAATTGTACAACCACGCGTTATCCCACCTCCCGGAAAACCAACTCGACATACAAATCAGTTGGAATTCATCCATAAAGAAGTTTTGAAACCAGCGATGCGCCATAAACATGCATGGCCGTTTACAAAGCCCGTCGATGCTCTCCGACTCGGTTTGCCGGTGAGCTGTTATTCGTTAAAAATAATGTTTGTTTTGTGTTAGTGATGATGTAAATACTATTGAATATTCAACGAAATGATTATGTTTTCGTTTACGAGGGCATCTTTTGAATTCGTCGTTTTTCGAATATGAACGATTATCTATGGAATTGGATAGTTGATGAATGTGCCATCGATCCGTTATTTATCAATCAGATAATGAGTGACAATTCAGGACTATCATAAAGTGATAAAACGACCAATGGATATGAATACTATCGAGAAACGATTAAAGAACGTTTATTATTACTCTTCAAAAGATTGCATGCAGGTGAGTGTCGCATGTTTGAACTGGTGTTAGCAAACTTGATTGCATTGATTTCGATGTGGTAATGATTCGAATCAATGAAATATTGATATTTGATTAGATTGTGATCAATTTTTTTTTGGTCAGCTAATCACTAAGCTTATTAACATCACCCTTTATTCTCGTTCACGACGGGCACCATAGCAATTAATTTGGGGGCGTTTTTCTGGCGAATTGATTAATTGCTTCGTTGCGCTGCATTGCATGCTTGTTATTCTGGGACGTGGTTAAAACAGAATTGAAAACAACCGCCTTTTTGAAGTGATACCATTGAAAATTAATCGAGATCGGGACATGCTCATTTCTGTCCATTTTAACGCCGAAGTTAACAGCTCATTTAGTGAATATTGAGCTTACTTGCGAAGTATTCTTCGTGAAACGTAAGATGAAATCCAAAAGCAACAAAAATTGACTCTTCCTGAATCATTGATGAATGCAACCTTTTTCCTGCGAACAAAAAAAGATATTAGCTCCTGTCGTGTGAAATTTTGATGCCTTCTGTAGCTTATTGATAACGATATGAAATTCTTGATATCAATGAGCTCAGAACGCATCATCCACGGTTACGAGATTCCACGAAACTATTTCTTCTCCCTAACAAATCTTAAATACGGAGAATAATTCAGTTAAAGAAGACGTTCATTTTTTAGATCATAAAATTTCCGTCTGTTTTGTTCCGGAATTAGTTTTTGCCCACTCAGTTCCATCGTTATACGCACTGCGTCGTTAAGATACTTTTAACATCGCACTTTCATGTTCGAAGCATTTTAACCTTTTTATTATATTTTACTTTTGGGGATTTTACTTTCGTTTATGATTTACGCTCGTAGTTATGGATTTCTATCTTTTTACCATTAGCGGAGTTTAAATTTGATACATGTTGAGGTATAGTATCGCGACAGCTTGTCCATAATATGATATCGAGCAAATTTGATGGTTTTGAAGTTGATACGCCGTTTGGAGATACATAATAGTACAGGGTAGAACTCAACTACGTACAGTATGTGATGTTGTAGGTGCACATGAAGTAAGGGTATTTTTTTCAACAGAACAGAGGGGATTCTAGCATTGGGTATATTCTTAAAGGAGTGAACCTTTCGGAAGTATAACGACTTATATCAATCACTCCATCAGGATTACTGAGGGGATAAGGAAAATATTGGTTCATGTCTAATAAAGACAAGTTTTTCGAATAAAAACGAGGAATAAATGAACACTTAGTTGACAAGAGTGGTATGGGTGTTGGCAGATAGGTGAATAAATAGTGGTTAGAGTGGTAAAGAAGGTAAAGGCAAGGCAGTTGGTTGTTAGCGGTTGTGTTTTGTTCAGGACATAATGATCATGTTCAACAATTGCTACACGTACAATGCACCCGAATATGGGGTGTATTCGATGGCGAAAACCCTCGAACGGTTCATATTGGACAAGTTGGCCGCGATGCCCGCCGAAGTAAGCCTCTTTGTCGTGTTCCCTAGTGAACCCTTTTTGGCCCATTTCAGGATTTTGAGGCCATTTTTGCAAATTGCTACAAGTTCAATCAGAACGAAGATGATGTCTCTTTAATGTGCAAGAATATCGAGAATCTGTATCGCGAAAAGATCAAATTACTTCCTTCACAGGTAGTATTATAACCTCTTTGTCTATCTCTTTCAATGCCATTAGAAATTATCGGTTGTAATATTAGCTGAGAAGTTATTGTTTTCATTGGCATTGAAGAGAAGATGCTAGAATTATGGCTAAATCGAAAAGAGGTTTTTTGAGCAGGTAGAGTTTATGGTGAGAATGTCAAGTTCACGTTTTTATGTGTCATTTAAATAAGCGAGCATTCATAAGTTTTGTTGTAGGTGTTCATTATATCATGAATTTTAAGCAAATATTCTAATTTTTTAATTCGGTTTTTATTTCTCTTTAGTCTTCATATTTTTTGAGCCGTGTATTGGAGTGAAAATTGCAGGAAGTGGAAATAGCCAGGCCGACAACAAAGCGAGGTGGTGGTAAAATGGCAAGGAAAGGTGCATCGGGGCGTGGAGGTGCGACAGCACGAGGAGGTAATGAGATGCGGCAGTCAGCCTCCCCTGTCCAGAATTTAGCAGACTATCACCTCTATCTAGAATATTTACACAACGCTACCCCTAAAGGTGCCATATAACCTAAAACTTGATGAAATGCACACATATCCATATAGCGACACAATCTATGCATACTTTAACAGTTTTACATTCAACTACACTCGCAGCTCCTCTGAGATTATTGTTAAGTAGTCAACTGAGACTAATAAATTTCAGCAAGTGCAAGTCGTGAATCATCCGTGTCTGTACAACGAGGTGCTGCTGACAGTTCGTCATTGCTGGACACGGCATCGGATGGCGCTTCTGCTGTCGCCGTTTCATCGGCTCCGGTCGACGATGTGCATCCGTCTCCGTCCGTATCTACCGCAACTGCACCTGTCCCTCCCGTTATTCAATCTAAAGTTTGTCTGTTTTCATTTCTTCTCGTTTCATACGTCGTTTCAAACAGTGGTCTTTGAATAGAGTGTAAATGTATGCATGTATTGTAGTGACCGATGTGATTCTTTCAGAAAGGTGTCAAGAGGAAAGCTGATACAACTACATCGTTTGGAGAAGAATCGTCAGCAGCTGCTGCGAAGATCTCGACAAGACGAGAATCTAGTCGGCCACCCAAAAAGCCGAATTATTTTATTGATTACAATCAGTTAAAGCCTAGATTCAAGGGCAAGTGGACTGAACAAATGAAGTACTGTCAAAGAATCATCAATGAGGCCTTCTCAAAAGTTAGTTTTGTTTTTCCCTTTTGATTGATGCCAGCAAGTGATGGAATTAAAATCGCAAGTCAGTTGACTATAACAAAAGCAAATATCTAGTCTGTAAGTAAAATGTTTAATGGAAGGAAAAAATGTTTTTGTGTTTTGTCTGCAGAGTGTATCTTTATTACAGAAGTGTAAATCATTCACATGGCCATTCTTGGAACCGGTTGATGTGGAAGGTTTGAAACTGCATGATTATTATGATATTGTAAAACAACCCATGGATCTCGGAACTATCAGGTAATATAGCAGGGATTATTACTACGTTCAGTGATAGAATGAATAGAATTCTGATGATGTTGTTAATTCGCGAAAAAAGAAACTACGTCATCCTTCAGGCGGAAGATGGAAGCACGGCAGTATGCGACTCCGGATGAATTGAAGGAAGATATATTGCTGGTTTGTGAAAATTGTTTTAAGTATAACCCCCCGTCAGATCCTGTTCATCAGCATGGAAAGACACTTCAGGTTCTCTTCGGTTTTTTTATTTTNTACAAAAACAAATAAATTTTTTGTTTGATTCTCTTCAGAGTTGATATTTCTGCTTGCATTGCTAACGATTGTTTGTTAATTATTCACATATGAATGAATTTTAGAAGTACTTCGAAGAGAAATGGCGACATATGCCAGAGGAACCCGTAACCGAAGCAGAACCGCAGCTGTGTGTGTCTGGAGTGAGTATGAGCGGATCGTCCTCGTCATCGTCGCATCACAATACTAGTGGTGGATCGTTGATAAAGGAGGAAAGTTTGAGTAATACAAGTGGCGGTGTTCCTTTGATACCGCTGGACGTTAGTGGAGTTGTCGATAATGATGACCACATTGATCTCATTTTGTTTGCGTTACAAGCCGAACAGACCAAATTCCAAGAAAGGATCACTGAATTACAACGTCACTGTCAAGAAATATTTTCACTCAGGTCAGTTTTCTTCGCATTGCTTGCAAAAATCATTCTAATATAGAATGGAAAATTGCACATTCCGACCGAACTTCGAAATTTCTCGGTCAAAATGCGGATCTCAGAGTTCTAATCTAAATTCGTCGCTTTTTACCGAATGAATTTCGGTCGGTGATCACCACTACATTAAATTAATTATTGCGTCAGCCAAACATTAGGTTTATATAGACTTATCGTCGAGCGTAAGTACACAATTTTCAGGATTAAGCGACGTGAAGCACAGGCGAACCACAAACCGGTGCCAGTGCTGTCAGCAGACACAGTTAATATGTTGCAGTCGTTGGTTAGTACTCCGTTCACATTTTTGACGTCCAATGATGCGATGCCGTTCCTTCCATCTGCGACAGCCATATCACCCGGTACATCAGCCGCAGCAGTAGCAGCAGTTCAGTCATCGATTCTTGCTAATACGACAGTGAAAGCACCAGTTACTAATATGATCGTTCAACAAGCACCACCATCCAAAAAGAAGCCTGGACGACCAGCTCGTAACTACCATGCAGCAGCTGTAGCAGCCACCACAACACCGCTTATGTCAGCAGGTATAATAGCCCAAACTCAACATGCATCTGCACTGAATGAACGTGATGCGGCGCATTTAAAACGTGATCAATTGCATCAATGTTCTGTTAATGCTAAAACTTCTATTGCACATCGACAAATTGCAGTTAATGATAGTACTGTTGCATCAACACTGTCTGCGGTTGCTAGAGGAGGTGTCGCTTCACAAGAAAAGACTACTGCTAGTGTTCTGAATGCTGCGGTGCCACAAGATCACACGGCTGCGGCTATCTTAGCACAACAGGCGCAACCGACCGCCACACCGTCAAGGAAGCGAGGAAGGCAACCGGGTTCGAAGAACAAACCCAAGGCAGACGCACAAGCCGTGCCGGTCGCTGCTCGAATGCAACACCACCCTCCACAGCAGCAGCCACAACAACAACAGTCAATCAGCAGTGCATCCACCACCAACGTGTCGTCTGCAGCTGCCGCCACGAACGCATCACTACTGCACCAACAACAGCAGCAAAGACGTATTCGTGAGGATTACGACTTCGATAGTGAAGATGAACACAGTGCTGAGCCGATGAGTTACGATGAAAAAAGACAACTCTCGCTCGATATCAACAAACTACCGGGCGATAAACTCAGCAGTGTTCGTTACTCTTTGTTAATAGTCATCTGATCGAATTGAATCGAATACAGTGATGCGCTCTCATTGCTTTCATAATAGAAAATCGTTGTAAAGATCGTTCGTTATTCGTTCCTAGCTCATGGTATTGAGGTGATCTCTTGAAAGGGTTTTATACCAAATGATCACAATTGTTATTACAAAGAAATCTTATTGTGTAGGTGGTGAGCATAATAGAATCACGAGAAGCGTTGCGTGATTTCAACCCAGAAGAGATAGAAATCGATTTCGAAACTCTAAAGCCGACAACACTCCGAGAATTGGAGGCATTCGTTGCTGCATGTCTGAAGAAGAAGCCAAGGAAGCCGTACAGTTCGTTTTTTTTTAAAATTCATATCTTTCATTTATATCTGAGGGTGATCAATGTAATTAGGCATTGTCGCGAGCGATTAATTATTATGTTTAATGTTACTTATTGTTACCAAATTATTGTATTTCAATAATCTGTTATCGACTTTTGATTATTGCTGGATGAGTATTACGCTTTATATTAGTGGTTATTATCGTTCTGTGTTAACAGCAGTCAGTTTTGAGTGAGTCAGTTTGTTTCTCAGCGCAAAACTAATCAGCAACAAATACACTTTTCAGCACCGAAGTCGCAGAAAGATGTCGATAATAAGAAACGAGAATTAGAAGAAAAGATAAAAGGATTGGGTGGTGTTGTGAATGCCACATCTTTAGGTAATTTCTCATCTTCGATCGATGGGCCCTTTAAATTCAGTATCTTTAAGAACTAACTAAACTTCAATTTAATGTCTGATTAATTCTCAGTTGCACCTTGGCGATACTGAACATACAATAAGTACATTAATTTCAGTTCAAAACGGTGCACGCGCAAAGACAAGCTCAGTTGGTGGAAGAGGAGATGCATCTTCATCTGAATCGTCATCCAGTGATGATTCATCTTCGGACTCATCTTCTTCCGATTCGTCGGACAGCGAATCAGGTTAGATTAAGTATGATTTTGTCGTGGTTCATAAGGCGTGAACCGAGTAAACAACCATCTTGTAATCACTATTCTTGTACTATTATCATTGTTATTATCATCATCACTCTTTTATTACCTTCCCTTATTCACACGCTTATTCAGTTTCGTAGTTTGGTTAATGCACAGATTGAGTCTTAAATGCGAAATGAAAATAATGGGGATTGTTTTTATGGATTCGAAGAGGCATATTTGTGATTGAACAATAGTTGAGTGCGATGATGATGGTAATGTGTTGTTGGTGTTATATTCAGTGAATGACCTCATATTTTTTGCTAATTTATTTATTTTAAAAATGATTTGCATATGGTTCATTATTTCTGTTGTTTTTTTTTTTGAAAATTGTTGGATCATTTTCTCTATTCAAAAGATATTTTTCCATTTTATTNTTATTTAACTTCGAATTCACGACTGCTTGGGGATAGGTCAGTGGGGTGGTTCTTTCATGCTATGAATTGAGCAAAGTAAACGTATCGCTTGGAAAGTTAACTTGATCAGAGACTCCGTTTTTCGCGTCTTTTGATGTATTTTAGCAGTAGAAATGAAAATCTAAAAATTGCATTAATTTTTCATGCAGCAACTAACATAAGTTAACTTTTTGCCAATAAGTTCGGTGGATTTACGTACGAAAATGAATCTCGAACTAGATCATCGTTTGTTTCAATAAATTGATGTAGTGTTGTATGTGATGAAAAGACCGATTCATATTGTATCTTTTGAAAGAAAGCGCAAAATGAGCGAGAGATAATTGCTGAGCCCGTAAGTGCTACACCCATATATGAACGCCAAAAAAAAAATCTACGAGTTTTCTTAACACAGAACACAATGAGTCGTTTGATACTCATTGCGTACGATGTTATCGTACCGTTATTATTATAATTGTTGTCATTATTCAAAGAATCACTCTCGCTACGGTTAAACAGTTATGATTCCCTTTAAACACACGAGTGGCGTCACCTCTATGATACATTCATACTGCAACATGTGATCAGAGCAAGTCTTGATGAATATTCTAGTAGAGTGAATTCTGATCATTAGAAGCGATCTGATTCGATTGTGTCAGTTGTAGTTGTTGATACGGAAGAGTTACAGCGATGTTTTAATAAAACAGCAACGTGTAATTTCACATAATTTCAATTGTTGTTGTTATTATTAAAAGCGTTGTTGTTATCACCTTGCTGCATTGATGTTGTATATTATCTAGTAGAGTGAATTCTGATCATTAGAAGCGATCTGATTCGATTGTGTCAGTTGTAGTTGTTGATACGGAAGAGTTACAGCGATGTTTTAATAAAACAGCAACGTGTAATTTCACATAATTTCAATTGTTGTTGTTATTATTAAAAGCGTTGTTGTTATCACCTTGCTGCATTGATGTTGTATATTATCATTGTAATTGTCATTGTTGCTATGCTCATCGCTGTTATCTTATGATTTTATTGCTAATTTGATCGGTTTGCAAAAGGTTTTGGTGGTGTCGTAGTATCAGATCGAGTTAGGGCAAAGTTGTCATTAAATAACATACTGCTCTCTTGAGAATTACGTCCATATTCATTTGTTCTTTCTGCTTCCTATCTTATCTAGTTTGAATACGAACAATGGTTGTACTGATATGGAGAAGGGGCACCCGAACGAGTGAAATGGTCGAGGAGTGCTGCCGTTTTCCTCTTATTCACGTCTTCAAAATGCATCATGATATATATTAACGACTTGTTTTTATTCGTCAGTTAAATGGAAAGAAAAGTGGGGTGTCATCTGCATTTGTATGTGTCGAATAGCCGTGTTTTTGGTATCGTTGACAGCTACTACTGAAGGAATTTGACGAGAATTGGTGCGTTGAAAATGCGACTGAATAATGTCGTATGATGAAAACCGATTNATAAAGACAGATCAGTTGAAAGGGATGGTGCAAGAGCGAGGCTCCGCACTGTTGTTTCCATAGATCAACCAGTGCTGAAGGTGTATTGCATTGCTGATTGATATCAGGATATGTATGAATGTGTTGATATCATCTGCATGATAGTGATAATAAATGAACGCTAATCGGGAAGCGGAGTGTTATCGTTGAATGTGCTGATAAAATGAAAGCCATCAAACAATAACGCAACAAATCAAAATCTGTGTTAGGAAAACTCGATTTTCAAGTGAAACGTTCGGTTGTTGGTTGCGTATAGCACTTGCGGGTTAGGGCCTCGCTCATGCGCATATAACACCTCATTCATTCGTGTGTTTATTGTTGATGATACTTATTGTCGTTCTGATTGATCCTGATCCATCAAAACCTTGTGAATAGTCTCCGTTCTTATTACCAGTATCATTCGATGTTCTCCGCATTAATAACGAATCTGGTGATCGTTATTCATGCATGATGTTATGTGCTATTTTGATTGAGATGCTTTGCAATGATGTTTCATCTTTTTGAGGGATACGACTAGATACGATTAGTTTAGCTTATTGTACAATATGGATGGTCAGTTCACGTTGTTGTCTGGTACGTGTAGGGCAATATGTCAAGAGTATATAGCTAATGAGTGCATTTTCGTGGTGGAGTAATGCAACTGTTTCATTTAAGTTGTTGAGTACGATGTGAAATTAGACTGAAGGAGTGTTAAAAGNTTTTTTAATTGTCGAATCTCTTTGTTAAACATATTCCATTGCCGATATTCATTGATTCTCATCCGTATTGAATGCTTCAATTTTCAATTTTGTCTCATTTCTGTAATTTTCGAATGTGTTTCATTGTTAAGTGTTCATTCATTGTTTTGTTGGATGCTGATGCAATCCATTGCTGTTATTTTATGGGTGTTGTAAGAGGGTTGTATGGAATATAAATTCATCATGCAAAATAATCGTTGAAGTGTTTATATGCCTTATAAAATGAGGATTTTATTTTGTTGGCAGTTTGGAAATTTTTAGGTTGAGAAGTGGTATTAGGTGGTTTGTGGCAAATAAAGCAAAACACTTGGTGAGCAGTTGATGCAAATAAATTATTTACTGATAACAGCAATTACTGAAGCGTTAGTATATTTGTGAATAAGGTGTGTGTGTTTGTGAGTACATTGATCTGTGTTTATGGTAATTGTTGTTTGATTATACTCTTCCGTATGACGCAGTTGAATGTAGTGTACAATAAAGTATCATGTGCTTCTTCGTGCTGATCTGCTTCCCAATACAACTGATACAAGATAACCGTGGCGAGAGTGATAAAACCGATATTATTGGTGCACTGAATGGGTGCGTTCAATGTTTCAGAGCATGAACAGCCACAAAATCAACGTGCAGTGCAGCCAGCGCCTCGCTCAACAGCGCAACAGCCACAACAACCGGTGCAGTCGATTACTAAACTAGAAAAGAATGAATCTATCAAAGTCAAGGTATTAATATAGTGAATAGTTTCGGGAATGCTTATCGAATTTGTGTCATTAATTTGATAAAACCAACCGGATTTATTACGTTTCGTATGTGTCCGAGCAGGACACTGAAAAAGTAGTGTTTGGCAGTCCACATTTTAAATTAGATATGGCAATTATTATCGTCACTTTAGCTTTTTTTAACTGAATCTCTACCACAACAACATAATTTATTCTATAGCTGGATAATGAAAAACCTCAAAAAGATGCTATCAAAAATCAAACAAAGTGTTTTGGATGTGGATGAGGTTTTCAAAAAAAAAATAGTGATAGTTGAGTGTACAACATAGTTTACGCATTCTTGTTGAGTGCATTAAATATTCCATATATTTGATCTCTTCTCCGGAAAAATCGAATCTCTTCCACTCAGTTTTCTGAGAACAAAACATTTGATCGTTTTATTATGATGCATAGAACAGAATAGTTGGTTATGACGAGGCGAAAAAGCAGTTCGTTAGTGGAATTTGAGTTGACCTTAAGCATTTTGTTAGTGGACGATAGTCAGCCAATACTGAAGCATAATAATTGCATACGGGTCTGGTTGCACCGAAACGATATTCACTTTTTGAATGAATATTTTGTTGAAAAGTTTAAGACAGAGCCGATAGCTGCTGCTGCTGCATCACAACCAACAGCAAACGCCACCACCACAAACGCAACACTGCACAATCAACGAACCCAACCGCAAACCAATCTTCCTGCCTCTATCACTAACGCCAATGCCCCGCACGTAAACAGTTCCATTGTGAGTGGAATTAATAATATTAAAGGTAATTTCATATTTCATTCATTTTTTTTTTCGATTGCATTTGATCAAAATCCACTGTTAGCAAACATCCTGTGCAAATATATTTCCATTCGAAGTGAATTTGTTTTATGAGATGGATTCAAATCAAATTTATCGCGATGAATTTTCAGACACAAAAAATTGTTGATATCGTTTCAATTGTTCAGAAAGTTCAGAAATTTTATGTAATGATTTCGCTGAAACGGTTAAGCACTCATTTGATTGTAATAATAATTAATTCATTTCTCATATTAGTAATTCATTTCTCGCGTATTGCACTTTTCTGATAGCTTATTGCAATCCTATTGCTGTGCAATTTTTATTTTATTGCTATGATGAATGCTATTTTGTTCAGCGAATTTTGTGTCAGTAAGAAATTTGAGTTTTCACGACGTTTAGCTGTGTTTGGGATTAATTTGAAAAATCTTACTTCGGAAATGCGCAATTATTATTGTTAGAATTCAGCGCTGATCGGGGCATGCAATAAGCAGAAGTGAATAAGAGGGAACCAGAAACTATTTAAAAGTCACGAAATATCATGGTGAAGGGGAAATAAATCTTCATCGGTTTCATAGTTGAAGCAAAATAAAATATCAAAAATAGTAATAAACACCCAAATGGATGAAAATGCTTCAATATAATTATGGGACAATGAGTGGAAAATGTTTGGTTTTGATGAAGCATTTGAAGCGTTCCGTGTTCGAATTATCGAAGAAACAGTTGTTGATTGATTCGCTTTACAGAAGAGAAAAAGGATGAAGTGCAAATAACCACATCGCATTCACATGTGCACAGCGGTGCGGCACCGTTGTTGACGACAACCAATTCACAGCAGCAATTACCCACTATCGGAGGATCAATTCTCGACCAGTTATTACCAGCTAAACAAAACGGTATCAAAAACAATTATTATTCTGCCAACACTTAGTTATTCTTCTCTTAAAATTCCACTCAAAACATTTCAAATAACACTATGCTGCGTTTGGTAGAACAAGAATTTATTTGAATTTAATTCGAATAGATAGACTTGAGTGAGTTCAGCTTTGATTGGTTTTGTTTATGCACATCTCGAGAAGCGGTTGTTTTTTTTTACATCAATTTAAAATTCAGTTATGAATCGTAAATTTAAGAAATGGACGAAAAGGGAAATGTCAAGAAATTAGTTGGTTGGGATAATTTGGCAAAGAAAAGTCAAAGTGGTTCGTTGAATTACGATTCGTCGTTTGAATTATTCAAAAAGCAAGCCAGAGAAAAGGAAGAAAAGGTTTTTGTTTACCTATTGTTATTTTTATATTTCAGTGCTGTCATGAGTTTTATCTCTTATTCGTTGAAATTGAAAAAAAAAAGATTTATAAGTATTCGATGAACTGTCATAATCAAATTAAATCATGGGGAATATGGGAGAAAATTAAAAAGTAAAATTTAGAACTTGGACGGGTATTAGACGCATCTCCTATGCGATTACATAGCAATGTCAAGGTGCGTTAATGCACACACCAAGGAGATTTGTTGATTATAATCAGTTTGAGATCAAAACTAAAAGTATTGGACAATAATTATAGCGTAAGCAGTTGAAAGTGGAGGAGGAACGGCGAAAGAAACTGAAAGAGCAAGAGGAGCGTGAACGGGCCAAAGAAGAGCATTTCAGCACTTCAGTTGTCAATAACAACAACACTTCGCAAACTGAGCAGCAAACTCAACAGGAATTGATGCGTCAGCGAGAGCAGGTTCGCATTTTCCTTGTTCTCTTCTTATCAGTACTAATGTCCACTAGTGATGGTAATGAACCAAATTTCGGTTCAGTCACAATCCGACCGAACACACATTTTGAGATTTCGGAAGTGACTATTCCAACCGAAACTCAAAATTTTCGCTCGATCTCCGTAGATTATCAAAGTTCGATAATTACCAAAAATTCCCTCGAATTTTGTCGATCAAACTTCTGTTGGTTACTGTCACTATTATGTGCCATTGTTCATTCCCTGAAATAGTGATTATTCACCCAAACGAGAAAGTATTTGAAAAAGGAATTCATCGACGTGTTGCATTCTTCATTAAAAGCAACAGTTCGGAAGGTTAATAAATTTGATTTTTTAAATGCGATAAATGTGAATGAATGAATAAATGAATTCATTTGAAAATGAATAGGAACGACGCCGTCGAGAAGCGATGACAACAGGTGGAGATGTGACAAGTCAAATGGATCTGATGCTTAATTTCGAGGCCACTTTTTAGCATTTTTGTTTGTTTTATTCGTTTATTCGATCATTTGTGCTGAAAATTGCATTCGATTTTGCCAGAGAATTTCACGTTTCTATTCCGTTATTGGTTTCTTTATTCTCTTGTTATAACTTAGTTTATCCATAGACCACCTTCCTATTTGGTTTTGCGTTTCAGTTGTTTTCCTGCTAACGAAAATCTTTGTGTTTGTCGAAGTTGTGATGCCCTGTTTTCAGTAGCAGTGTATTGGATACGTTATTTTTTATGCTGTTCATGAGGATAGGTTGTTTTTTTTTAAGATAAATATCATCATGAGATCGTTGAGTGTTTATTTTGATGGGTATTTAATTTGACTAGCAGTTAATCAAGAATGGTTGATAGCAAAATGAAAAGAAAACACTGCCACTGCCCTATTCATTTATATGTGTTATTGTTGTTGGAAGGAAATATTATTTCAATGTTCTATCCTGGAAAAAACTAGACCGACCGATAGCATCAGCTGCGGATGGATCTATCATAAAATTGATATATTAGTCGAATTTATTTTGAAGTTTTGTTCATCTTCTATTGCGAATTATCATTTTTAAAATTATTATTAGTTTTACAAAATTCACCACTTTGTTCCATTTCGAATAATTTTTGCGATAGAATTTTTAATGTTGTCATTTTGTTCATTTTCTTAAAGAATTGAATTGAGTTTTGGTTGGCTTGGTTCGTTGTTATTGCTGACGGTTGTCGTTCACTGTTTGTTTATGCTGTAATTAATTTCATTGAGTATGTGTCTTCTGTATGCTGACTTTATTGCCGAGTGCTCATTATCGTTGTTGTTATTTGATGTTGATCATTGTTCCTATATTTGGATCATTATTTTTATTAGTATTATTGTTTTTACTATTATTATTATATTATCATTATTAGTATTATTATTGATGTTATTACTATTTTAGTGTTGTTGATGTTTTCTTCATTACTCAGCTATCACAATTTTTATGAATTTGTTTCTGGTTCTACCGCTGTTACTCGTTTATATTGTTATCGTCTGCGTGTGAAGGCGTTTTCCATTTGAATTTTATCATTGATTCGTGAAAAGTTTTATTCATTTATGCTGACATAAATAGTGATGATGATAATAATAACTAATATTATTGTGTTTACTAGTGCGTATTGTGTTATGATGTTATCGTTTGATTTTAGTTATGCAGCCTCGTCAAGAATATAAACGAGAGAAGAGACAATTTTTTGTTGGGTTCTTTGAGAGTTACTTGCAAACGTGGTCGGCGATCACTTGTTATTTTTCTGTTCAAAATAAATTATCTCAACTTTTAGCGGGTTATTTGTTATTGCTGCGTTTGCATTGAATTTTGCTGATATCGCAGAATGAATTTCAGTGAGTCAACAACGTCTATTGATCAATATTGCGTTAAATTTTCGATTCACAACACGTTTTGTCGTTGAGAAGTAGTTGCAAGCTGCTTGATCATAGCACAACTAACTCATTGAATTAGCGGCGAAACTAGGCTGTTTAAGCAGAATATGACATTTGAAGGAATGATTCCGTGTTAACGATCCATTAAGATGTCATAAACACATTGAATGTTCTTGTCATCCTCTTAAAAAAGTTTGTTAATGTAGTGTATCGTCGTGATCAATTAATTGCTTTTACGTCCATTTGTTTGATCGTTTTGAAATTTGTTTTATTTATTTGAATTCGATTTGAGTTGATATCATCAACGAATAAAACAGAACGAAAACATCTTCGATTCGGCATCATCTGTTACCCGTTCATTTCACGTGATTGATGCTAACAAAGTTAGTGTTTTAATGCAAAATGATTACTTTCTATGCGATGCCTTCTTCAGTCTCTTATTAAAGTTTCATTTTTTTGTCCTTCAAAAGCAACGCATTCTCTGCATATATGCATGTTCTTTCTTCATGCGTGCAACTATTGATCCGTTTACGTTTTTTCTCTCAACAACGAAAGTTTACTCCATTGATGAGGTGATCGTTTGCTGACGATGTTTTGAAGCATTGGCTTAAACGTTGTAGTGTGCCGGCGTAGTGATGATGATGATGACTTTAATTCGGGAGTATGATGCAAAGCCATGCATCCATCGTTCTGTCTAGGGACGTTGTTCAATTTGGAACATATGTTTAATTGCTTTTACGCATTCTCTTTACGCTGAAATTGAAATTGGTGAATTTGTTTTGCGTAAATTGTTATCAGAGCACTTCTTTTGTCGTCTATAAAACTATTGTATAATTTGCTCATTAAACCCTCAATATTTCATTAATGTGTTTTCTTTAAATATGCACTTGTTTTGTATACAGTTTATTTATTTATTTATTTATTTATTCAGTCTCCANCCGAAGATCGTATTCCCAGAATGTTTCTTCGTTCGATCCGATCAAATGAGTATGTTACTGATCACTTGGTTCATAATGAATGCCTCAAAGATTGAATTATTTCTGATAACCTTTGAATCGCTCGTCATCAGTGGCTTACGCATGTTCAGGATTTCGTTTTAATTGAATTCCTTCTTGTGATCGTAAAGTTTCCCGAAGAATTCTCAGTTTTAATCAGCCACTATAGGAGAAAGTGCGTGATCGCTATCCAAAGCTTTATGAAGAGCAATTGTGGGAATTTTAGGGAGAAGAATCCGTTTGCGGCTGTGCATTTTTTATCCATCTTTTCGAGTAAAAAATAATTTTAGTCACAATTTTGGTCACAATTCAACGACTCTGTTGAACGTTTCAATGCATTGCTGTGAGCATTTCATTTCAACAGTAATTGTTGCTTTAATATTGATTCGCTTTTAATATTAACTCATTATGCATTCATTTCACATCTAAGAATGCCTGAATGCACCTCATCGGCTATAAGCTCTCTTATTTTTCTTAGACGTTGCTCTTTATTGATTAATTTCTCAGTCTGCTTTCCTTCTGATGAACATTTGTAAATGTCTTCTTTTATGGAGAGATTTTGAGACGAGACGAGACGAGAAGTAATGCGATCTAACAGAACAACTCGTTTAAGCGGTACGGTGGTTGGCCGTTTTATGTGGTCTTGAATCGTTGCACAGTTATTTCGAGATAACTGGTGGCTATAACGGAAGGTATTAGGAGACGGGCTAGAATAGATCTCTGGACGGGTATTGGCATTCCCGATGGGGTTGACGTTCTTCTCTCATTTCTTACTAGAGAGTAGATGATGAGAAAA